TTTTATATTTTAAAATGAGATGTTTATCCTCTGTTTGATTATGTTTATCCACAATTAGTTATATAAATTCAAACATGGAGTTTTAATAAGTTATACTTACGCATAATTTATTTGTAATCTTGAATTTTAWGTAATATGCATCAATATACAGTACTTCATGCATAAAAAAAAATAGTTTTAAAAGTTTTTGTTAAATACTTTATAATATAGTATAGATTACATCCAACTCTAAGAGCTACTATATTTTAAAGATTCTAACATGAAGTATATTACTAAATATTCAATATATTTAATAAAATATTATTTCTATTAATTGCCTAAACATTTAATTTTAATGTTTTCTATTGATGAAAAATAAATTAAATTTATTTTTCTCCTCCTAAATATATGAATATTTGGATTTTAYGGGAATACATGAATTTTCGTTTCATGGGTAAACATATACATATTTTTTTATATAATTTTTTTTATTCCCGTTCAAAAATATATAAATAATGAAAAACTCTTTTTTAGATGTTAAATAGTTGTTAAAGGATAAGTGTGTTAGCATAAAAAAAAATTAACGATATATATAAATAAATATAAATTATTAAAGTTATTTGTAAAGTAAATCTTATTTAAATACTTATCTGTAATCTTCTCTGTTTAATCATAAGTCTGTTGCTCGTCACCAACATGTACTGTTGTTCCGTATAACGCCGCCCTACAGCTACACTAGTTTTTATTTATTTATTATAGGATGAATTTATGTCAAATTCATACCCAGAAACTTTTATTATGAAAACTTATATTATTAGACTCTGTTTACCTGCGTAATTAAACGTTTATCAAGTCACATTATTTTACAGGATGAATATGGTGAGAAACAAAAATCTTACCAGGTAAGAGCAAGACAAGTACCAAGAACTTATCTGGTAAACGAGGATGACTTCTGCCATGGTAAGCATTTGTCGGATAAATTGTTGCATAYGATGTCGTTTTTGTGAACTAAAATCTTACTCGGTAAGTAAATGATAATGTTAAATTTTACAGATAAACATTTACAGAGTAAGTGTTTGATAAACGACATCTTAGTGTCACCTTAAATAGGCTCAATAGAAATATTTGGTTTTAGACACAAAATCGATTAAGA